AAGTTTATTTGAAAGCGTTTAACTGTGTTGTCATTATTAAAAAAAAATACTCTGGAAGAAGACACCATTTCCTCACTGTGTTCTCTCTGGGTTGCTGTTTGTATATACAATGCTGTTGCTATTTGGTGTGTTAGCTGTGTGTCACACGACACTATTGAACTCTATAATTCGTATTTTTTTTTCCCAGAAAGGCTTTAAGGAATAAAAGTGTTATTTGGGTAACCATCCAAAATGGGCATGTCAGCTAGATGAAGGCAGCCGCAGTTAGTCCTGTAATTAGGGTGTGATACTTAAGAGTGCACCTCGTAAGAATCAGGGGTCCTTCAGTGTAGGGTATTTGAGGGATGTAATTCAGCTCCAAAAACTTCTTTTGCACCAAGACTGAAAAGGTGAAAGAGCACAGGCACTCACTCGGAAAAGAGTCTGTATGGAGCTTCTTTGCGGCTGGATTTCTTTGAGCTCCTGGAGCACAGAGGGAGTGGCCCAAGGCCCAGGTGCCGTGGAAAACAAGGTTCTTGTTGGCTATGAAACCTGCAGCTCAGAAAAGGGCAGTGCAGGGTCGTGGGTCCTTAGCTTTGCCCACCCTTGGAACCATCCGAATGAAGACCCCCAATAGCTTCCTGTCTTAGAACATGGGGAAGGAGTGGAGGCTGATCATGCATCCGATCCCTCACAGGTGGAATGAAAGTGGAATGAACAGGGAGCCTGGGAGGCTGCATTCTCTCTGTTTCTGGTGTTGGTCTGAGGAAGGATTGGGCAGGCCTGGCCCCAACACCCTGACACTTTCGGAGTCTCCCAGGTATAGGTCCTTCAGCCAAGGACTTGGCAGTTCCTCTGGGACTCAGAGGCCCTTTTAGGGAGCAGGGTTTATTTTATTCTTCATCTTTCTTCCGCACAAACATGAGGAAGAGAAAGAGTTGCTATCCAGCACCTATGCATGATGCTTGGTGCCATCTCCTTGTCTTTTTTTTTAACCTCTGAAATAGGAGTCCCAAGCATTCTCCCTACTTTTGCAGATGGCTAAATGAAGTTCCTGAGGGACAATTGACCTAACACCACTCAGCTGGGGAGTAGCTGTTGCAGGGCCCAGGGAGGAGGGGGAGGGCTGAGGAAGCAGAGCTCTGGGCTCCCTTCTCCCCCTGCTTTAATGAAAGCAGCTCCACCTGTATCTGTCTTGCCCATGCATTCCCAGGAAGCTCTGGTTTAAAGAAAGGATTCCACTTTGAAAGAGTGTGTCCTCCACATGGATCTGTTCTTTCAGGATTCTCATTCCCAACCTATTCTTGCGCCCACTCCTGTTTCTACTGCTGTGGCCCCCCTTTGCCTAGTGGATCTGAGGGCCCCAGCCCCCTGAGGGGGGCAGGATCGCATGTTGGAGGCCCAGAGGGAACTCAGGGCTGGAAGATAGCAATGGCAGCTGTGAAGGAGCTGCCTCCCCAGCCCTGCCCCGCCCTGCCCCGCCCCACCCTAGCCCTCTCCAACCCCTTGCACAACCAACTTCTCTGTGGGCAAGAGTAGAGTTGATGTGTTTCTCAAGAGCTGTCATGGGGAAAAACTATCAACCTCACTCCATGCCCTCCACACCACAGCAAAAGGATTCTCTAAGTAACTGTGCCCAGTCCTCAGCAGCATCTTTGGTAAGAATTAGAAACCCAGGAATTACTCCAGCCAAGCTGGGGGACTTGTGAAGGCACTGGAGGTCTTTACACACTTTTGCAGATTGGATTTCCTCTTACATTTAATAACTATTAGTCCTTGGTGATTCTATTATCATCTTTCTCAGAAGTTTTTAAAAATCCTAGAAATAACATTTTCATTAGTCTCATCTTCCTTTAGCTTTTTTAAGAAAAGGATTTATTTATTTGATAGAGTAACACACACATACAGAGGGAGGGAGAAGCAGGGGAGGGACGGAGGGATTGAGAGTTTTTCCACCTGCTGGTTCACTCCCCAAATAACCTCAATGGTGGGGACTGGTCCGGGGTGAAGCCAAAAGCCCAGAATTCCATCTGGGTCTCCCACATGGGGGGCAGGGGCCCGAGTACTTGGGCCATCTTGATGCTTTCTCGGGCTCATTAACAGGGAACTGGCTCAGAAGGGGAGCAACTGGGACTAGAACTAGTGTTCATATGGGATCCTAGAGTTACAAAGAGCAGCTCAACCCGCTGCATCACAATGTCAGCCCCTCCTTGGCTTTGAATTGGATGGAATCTAACACTGATAACTGAAGCCAGCACCATCACTCTTATCACCGTTACTACTAGAATAATGCTGAATTAAATAATCATCTTTTACAGAGGGAGCTCAAAACGTCAGGCCTGATAACAAATTTGAGACAACTTAATTTTAGAAATGGGAAAAAAGACTAGAGAGAGGAGCCATTTATTCCAGAATTCATGCAAAGATAAAGGGAAATTGCGGGGTGGGGGAGAGGGGCGGGGGGAAGAAACTGCTCTGCTCTGCCCCCCTTGGTGACTGTGAGTGGTTACAGTTTGTGAATGTCATGTCTTCAGCAGAGTTCCATGTCGGGATGGCTGCATTTTGCAGTCAACAACTAGGCTGTGTGTGGACAGGCAGATGTGTCCAGACTTGAGCCTGGATACTTTGTACTCTTTTCATGAACCAGGGGATGCCAGAACCTTCGATCAGACCTTGATCTTTCCTCCCTGAGAGCAACTTTTGGGGACAGTAGTGTGACACAATGAGCAGTGGTGTATAATCTCTGATCTATAGCTGAGTGAGATTTTTATTCTATTTAACACATGGATAGAGAGTGCTCTAAGCATTTTACAAATCGTGACTCACTGAGTCCCCGTAACAATTACTGTCCCCACTTTATTATTATTATTTTCAGAAAGGTTGACCAACTGGACCCAAATCATGCAGCTAGTCTGTTGCGGAGCTGGAAGGGGAGCCCAGCCCATCTGATTCAGTGTCCATGAGGGGTACACTTATTCTTTATGAAGCATCTCTCTTGTGCTGTGTCCTGCACTTGGCAGTGGGGGTCAAAGTCCAATCCACCACAGCCCCTTCTGTCTGGCGGCTAACAGTCTATAAGGCGCTTACGGTTTTGAAAGGTGCTTTGTCCCATAAGGACCTCAGCTCCTAGACATCATCCTTCACTGCACCTGCATCAGCCTCACTCAGCTACAAGGATAAAACGCTCCAGGGATGTAATGGTTAATTTTAGATGCTAACTTGGCTGGGCTCTGGTGCCCAGTTATTTGGGCAAATACCAGTCTAGATGTTGCTGTGAAGGGAGTTTTAGATGAGACTCATGTTCGAATCAGTGGACTTTGGGTAAGGCGCTGGCCCTCCATCACGTGGGTGGGCGTCACCCAATCAGTTGAAAGCCTCAAGAGAAAAGACTGACTTTGCCCACTGAAGAGGGATTTCTTTCTCCAGACAAACTCCAGACATGAGACTATAACATCAACTCTTTGGTGGTGAATGTCATCCACAGATGGGTGGGCAGGATATAAATGAGTGGTGGTATTTCTGCAATGCAGATGTACTACATGTGCTCCCCAAAGCGCGTGAGCAATGAGTTGAATTTGAGGGGTCAGGGATTCTGATGTTGGTCCTAGGTGCATGTTGCTATGTCCCAGGGGTCAGCAAGTTAGCAGGGTTGTCCAGTGGGAGGGTTTATCTATCCTAAGATGTGTCAGTTTTTCAACTGTTTACATACAAAACATCTACCATATGCCAGGAGCTGAGCTATTTGTATGTGATGATTCCTACTGCTGCCCTGAACAGTGGCCAACACACTCCCAATTTACTATTAACAGAGAACACTTTCTTTTGTTTTTAAAGATTTATATATTTGTTTGAAAGGCAGAGTTACAGAGATAGAGGGAGAGATAGACAGACAGACAGACAGATAGATAGAAAGAGAGAGAATAGATTGATCTTCTATCAGCTGGTTCACTCCCCAGATGGTTGCAACTGCTAGGGTTGGGCCAGGCTGAAGGTCAATGCAGGTCTCCCACATGGGTGCAGGGGCCCAAGCACTTGGGCTATCTTCTACTGCTTTCTCAGGCACATTGATAGGGAGCTGGATTTGAAGGAGAACAGCTGGAACTTGAATCAGGGCTCATATGGGATGCCAGCATTGAAGGTGGTAGCTCAACTGTTCTACAATACTGGGCCCAAGAACCTTTTCTTGAAGTGGTACATCCAGGCATTGGCACTTATCATTAAATTATATTATATGTATATATATATATGTAAAATTTATTTGAAAGGCAGACAGAGAGCTAGAGAGAGGTCTTCCATCCACTGGTTCATTCCCCAAATGCCTGCAATAGCTTGGATTGGGCTAGGCCAAAACCAGGAGCCCAGAACTCCATCTGGGTCTCCCACATGGTTGGCAGATACCCAAGTACTAGAACTATCATCTGCTTCCTCCCATAGTACACATTAATAGGAAGCCGGGGTGAGAAGCAGAGTGGGGACTTGAACACAGGCACTCTGATATGGGACGTGGGTATCCCAAGAGGCCTCTTAACCCACTGTGCCCAATACCTGCCCCAGAATGTACCATTTTCAACTGCAGAGATGGTGATGCCCCTGTCTGCAGGCATGAAGGGGGTCCACTCCAGTGCCCCACCAGATAGGTAAGAAGACACAGGAATAGCTGGTAGGGGACAGTGAGTGCTGCTTGGCAAGCAGTGACGTAGAGAAATCATTCTCAGGGACAAGAGTGCCCCTGAGGAGCTCAGCTGGTGTCTGAGGGAAGTGAGAGGAGCCTGCAAGTGGCATTTGCCACAATTTGCCAGCCTCAAAATAGCTACAGCGCTAGCCTTTACTGTGAAGCAAGTCAAGAGGAAAAACATCACTTTTCCATAAAGGGGACAGTGCTGCTTAGCGCCACACAATGGCGATAAGCACTTGGACCATATTCTGGGTGAGAATCAAATGAAACCCAACATTTTCCTCTGAACGAGGCTGTTCCACTTAATAGAACTATCATCAGCAAGTCCTGTTTTCCTCTCTCGCAGGTCCCTGGCTGGGCCTCAGAAGCATCCTAACAGAAGACTCAAAGCTTTGCTCATGTAAAGCATTGCCTTTCCTCTGGCTCAAGTCTTGTCCAGGAAAAGTTGGGTGAAGACCCATCTGTTGAATCAGCTTGCCAACCTGCGCATGGAGTGGTGCTCCCCAAGTTCATTTGTGAGTGGTATGCTGAGTTGAAGAGGATCTTGTATTCCCAGTTATACTCAGCTGTGTCTTTGATGGAGTGGGGGGTTGGGGCTGCCTTGAGGTCTAGTCACCACCTATAGTGCTGTTTCTTTGGAAAAATACATTCCAAGCACCTTTGTTGGTTGATTCATTGACTGAATGACTGATTGACTGGTTCATTCATTCATTTACTCAGTCATTGGTTGTCACATACCAGGAAGTACCCCCAGATGCCAAGACCTTCTTTCTTTCTTTCTTTCTTTCTTCCTTCCTTTCTTTCTTCCTTCCTTCCTTTCTTTCTTCCTTCCTTCCTTCCTTCCTTCCTTCCTTCCTTCCTTCCTTCCTTCCTTCCTTTCTTTCTTTCTTTCTTTTTGACAGAGTTAGACAGTGAGAGAGAGAGACAGAGAAAGGTCTTCCTTCCTTTGGTTCACCCCCGAAATGGGCGCTACAGCCGGTGCGCTGCACCGATTCGAAGCCAGGAGCCAGGTGCTTTCTCCTGGTCTCCCATGTGGGTGCAGGCCCAAGCACTTGGGCCATCCTCCACTGCCTTCCCGGGCCACAGCAGAGAGCTGGACTGGAAGAGGAGCAACCAGGACAGAATCTGGCGCCCTGACCGGGACTAGAACCCAGGGTGCCGGCGCCACAGGCGGAGGATTAGCCAAGTGAGCCACGGCGCTGGCCCAAGACCATCTTTCTAATCCATGCTGCAGCAAGTGGTGCCTCCACTGGGAAGTAGGTAGATCAGAGAGACACAAGATGCAGGAGAGGTCTGCCGCAGAGGCTCCACCTGGTCATTTTCCATCTGGGCTCATCAGGAGCCACCGGGTAAAAGGCAAAGGGCAAGGGGGATTCCTCATTCACATGCCACCTGTCATGGTCAGGTTGCTTGGAAACCAAGTCTTCCCAAGTCAGAGAGGTTTGGCTGAACCTGTAAACTCCTTGAAGGCAGGGCTGTTTCTTAGAAATGTTGATAACCTCAGGTGTTTCAAGTAGTTATAGCACTTAGCAGGAAGTGGATTGGTACCTGTTTGATGAAATGAAGTCCTTTCTTTTGCTCCGTTGTAAGTGGCTAATCTTGGCTTGGTTAGAGTCTGGACTCTGGATGAGGTTTTGTCATCTACTGTGCATTTGGGATGTGCTCAGCAATGAGTCAAGAGGCTTCTCAAGCACAAATGGTATGGGTGTTTTCTTACTGGAGTAGCCCAACCCAGCCTCCTATCTTGTTAGGAGTCTACTCAGTTAAGAGACAGGAAAGGGAGGCCATCCGCAGCCTTCCAGCAACCCGGAGGGTCACTGCCAACTGCTTTTTCTGATAGCAGTGTCAGAGGAAGTGGGATTTCCAATGTGATGTCTACTAACCTATTGTGGCCACAGCCCAGAGGTTAGGTGACTGTGGAGAGAATGCTAATCGCCAGCTGTTCTCTTCCAATTGCCTGCATTATCTGTCGTGGCAGTGTGTCTGGCTCTCTACTTTGGAAGAACTTGCAAAGGTGCCGACACCTAGTAATTCTGTAAGGCTCTTGTCAAGTCATCTTACCAGAAACTTCCTTTGCTTGGGCCAAGAAAAGTAAGGCCAGATGCACTCCTAAGACAGACACACTCTCTTTTTTTGATCTTTTTGTCCAAGGGGCTTCTCTGCTTTCATTCTCAGTGGCCTCTATCTTTGTCGAATCTTACTGGAGAAACTTGGGTCAAAGACTGGTGTGGGCTTCCCAGCGAAGGCAAAGAAGGAAGAAGCAATGTTGCATTTATTGTTGCTCCCCCTGTTGACACAAAGACACTTAATTTTGATGGTGGTTCTGATTAAAATGTTAACCAGCATAACCAGCATTAATTGAACATTTGTCACATGCTTGCCAGGATAGTAAGGACTTGGCATGGACTGTCTCATTAAGTTCTCCCAACAGCTCTACAAAGTGTTCTCTAAATGCCTTCCATTTTAACAGAGAAGGAAGCTGAGATTTAAAGGAGTTAAGACTGCATGTCCAAGGCCATGTCTTTTTTTTTTTTTTTTTTTTTTGACAGGCAGAGTTAAACAGTGAGAGAAAGACAGAAAGAAAGGTCTTCCTTTTTCCGTTGGTTCACTGCCCAAGTGGCCACTACGGCCGGCACGTTGCGGCCAGTGCGCTGCGCCAATCTGAAGCCAGGAGCCAGGTGCTTCCTCCTGATCTCCCATGCGGGTGCAGGGCCCAAGGACCTGGGCCATCCTCCACTGCACTCCCTGGCCACAGCAGAGAGCTGGACTGGAAGAGGAGCAACCGGGACAGAACTGGCGCCCCGACCGGGACTAGAACCCGGGGTGCTGGCGCCGCAGGAGGAGGATTAGCCTAGTGAGCTGTGGCGCTGGCCCTTAAGGCCATGTCTTAAGTCAGGAGCCCAGAAGCAGACCCTGAAATGAGGATTTGTGTGCAGGGGATTGGTTACCAGAGAGCGTAGTGGAAGAGGAAGGACCAAAGGGGTAAATCAGAAGGTGGCTTCCACCTGATCCTGCAGGCAGACCCGGTTGCAGAGGTGCACATCTGTGGAGTCACGTGGGCCCCACACTCAGAAGGGCCTCACACTTGAGTTCATGCTCTGATGCTGTTACTGTCTTAAACTTCTTCATGATTTTTGAACAAGAGACCTGCATTTTCATTTTGTACCAGGCCCTGAAAATCCTGTTGCCAGTCCTGCATACAGCACAGCTTTGAAACGAAGGGCCTCAGGTCATCAGCCATCCGATGGTCAGTGGTTAAGGGTCGCCCTGGAGGGAATGTATGTTCCCACGTGTCTCTGGTTTCCTACAGGTGCAAGCAAATCCTCTTTGCTAGCAGGTAGGCAATCCCTTGATAAAGAGCCACAGGTGGCCGCTGTTTGCAGTGAAAACATCCTGAAGAGGCTTCCAGATCCAGGCCCAGGGCCCTGAGGTCGCAGGCTCTTTACTGGGCTGTGGCACTTGGTGGCTTCTGTTTTGCTCTGAGCCCTGATGTTCCTTGGGCCCTCATACACTCTGCTCATAGATTGCTTCTGAGAGAGACTAGAAGGGAAGCGAGAGGATGGCAAGCCAGGTGGGACAGGGAACTGCAGGGCAGGCTGCCACGCACCTTGCTGGAGAGGGTCCCTCTGCCTGGGTGGGCTGCCCGCAGCTCCCCTGGGGCGCAGTTGGAACAATGTAGACAGGCTGGTTTGGCTTTCGCTTCAGAGGTTCAGCCCGCAAATGTTTACTAACAAAACACTAAGTATGTGTGTATTCCTACTTTGTCATCTCCTGTGATTTTTAAGAAAATGTGTTTCTTATGGCTTTAAATCTTTGTGCTGAACTCCTCAAACTATGCATTGTAAAGGGCCGAGTTTGTTTGTTTGTTTTTGGTTTTGTGTTAAGTTGAAAAATAATAATCACAGCACATTTGTCCTTGGAACATAGAGTCTGTGCCCATGTATGTCAGTACATCCTCTACCACTGTAGAGATGTGCCCAAGTGTGATTCATTTTTCAGGTCTACACAGGCTGACCAGCGTTAAATCCTGTTGTCAGGTTGCTGAGGACTTGACTGAAGATTTTTCCTTCCTTCCTTTTTTTTTTTTTTTTTTTTTTTGACAGGCAGAGTGGACAATGAGAGAGAGAGAGACAGAGAGAAAGGTCTTCCTTTACCGTTGGTTCACCCTCTAATGGCTGCTGCGGCTGGCGTACCACGCTGATCCGAAGCCAGGAACCAGGTGCTTCTCCTGGTCTCCCATGCGGGTGCAGGGCCCAAGCACTTGGGCCATCCTCCACTGCACTCCTGGGCCACAGCAGAGAGCTGGAAGAGGGGCAACTGGGACGGAAACCGGTGCCCCGATCGGGACTAGAACCCGGTGTGCCGGTGCCGCAGGCAGAGGATTAGCCTATTGAGCCGTGGTGCTGGCCAACTTTTCCTTCCTAATGGCATGCACAGGCAGCCGTTAGCAGAGGCTTGGATGGGGGAGGGTGGTGGCGGGGGGGGGGGGGGGGGGGGGGGGACAGCAGGCATGCAGAATGAGTCCCTGAGATGGCTCGCCGTGGAAATGCATTTTCAGAGGATGGATTCCAAGTCCAAAGAGCAAGGACTTCCCTTTTTCTTCCCGTTGTCACTGCCTTTGCAAACATGCCCATGGGCTGTTGTGCAACATGCACATCCAATAGATACACTAAATACAAATGAGCAGTAAGTATGAGAATGAAACCGCTTTCTGATTTGTTTTACCTGCAACCTTCCGGAAATGCTCAAACACTTCCTGGATATCTGTGCTGTGCCTGAAAAAGTGTGACCCTCTGAGTGCCATGTGCACCGGCTCTCATAGCATTTAAAGATCTTGACTTTCAAAGGTGAGTGCTTGTCTTAAGCTCCTCCTTAGTCCCCGGGTTGCTGTCCTCACCACCTAGATCCTGTGGGGAGAAGGGTGTGAGCCGTGCCAGTTCTCTAAATAGCTTTCTTTGTCCTCTTTGTCTTCATTATCTTAATGACCCATTACTTACCTCATCCTGCCCTCTTCCTCTTATCCTTAGCATTTTGCAGTGTGCTGGCTTCATATTTTAATTAGGTCCCATTCACTGGGCTCGCCAAGGTGATGCACTCATCCTGCTGAAAGAGAATCCATCCGTGTGGTTTGTCCAGGGCATCTGGCTAGAAACCAACAAACCATTGCTACATGTCAGCCTTTCTCATATGGGAAAGCAGAAGAAGAGCTTCTCTCTCTCTCTCTCTCTCTCTCTCTCTTTGTGTGTGTGCGTGCACACATGTACGCTTAAAAATTCCACAAAACATACATCCTCAAAGCACACAGAGAAGCAAAAGCTGGATACAAGTGTCGTTGTTTACTCCCTTTGCTGCACAAAGACTGGAAGAGTGGACATGAAGCCCTCAAAGCCAATCTGGAGAACTCGTCCAAGGAAGAGTCTAAGTAGCTAGAAGAAGGCTGTAATGACAAGATCATTTTCTTGTGCACGCCTCTTGAGGCAAGGCCTTAGCCTTTTTCTCCTCTCTTTCAGCCTTCCCTGAGCTAGCATCTTCTCCATTTCCACACCATAGCGAGTGCTGGGAGGGGGAAAAACTAGCCATTTTTAGGGAGTCCTCTGGGCCGGGGAGGGGAAGTGTGAATCGAAGGAAGGAGAAAAGCAGACATGGTGTGGGCTCAGGCAATGCTCTTGTG